GGGGGGAGTGGCTGGAGGGTCATGGGGCAGCAAGAGGGTAGGGTGAATGGAGGGTTGGGGGTGTGTGGCTGGGACACTAGCCCAGCCTTGCGTGTCTGAATGGGATGGTCTGAATCACCTACTTCTGTCCCAGGGGCTACCAAGGACATGGGGAAGATGCTCGGGGGTGACGAGGAGAAGGACCCAGACGCCGCCAAGAAGGAGGAGGAGCGGCAGGAGGCCCTGCGCCAGGCGGAGGAGGAGCGCAAGGCCAAGTACGCCAAGATGGAGGCGGAGCGTGAGGCCATGCGCCAGGGCATCCGGGACAAGGTGCGCACCGGGCCGGGCCCCCTGCAGGGAAGGCGGCCCTGAGTCCAGTGGGGTCTGGGAGGAAGGGCCGAGGGAGAAGAGGCGGCCGACCCCTGGGTTTCCTCCCCTTTGCGGGCTTCGGGGTGGCGGAGAGGTTTGGGGTTCTGGATGGGTTCCCTCTGTGGACCCAGCCCATCCTGCTCCTAACCATAGGGCTGGCCCGGTGCTTCCTGGGCCTGCATTCCAGTGGCCAGCCCTGCAGGAGAAGATGCAGCCTGGCTGCCCAGGGCAGGGGTCGTGGGGCAGCCGCCTGGCCTGGGGTGAGGCCGCAGGGAGGAGGGGCACCTGCTGGGATTTGCGAGGGTCCAGAGCAGGTGCGGGGCCAGGGGCTGAGCCAGCAGCAAGGCCCAGGCTCCCAGCGCAGGGACAGCCACACGCGGTCACTCCTCAGTGCCGTCCCAGCACCAGCCAGGTCGGGAGGGGTGCAAGGCGCAGGAAGCAGCAGGCACTGAGGGAGGCCTTCGTCTCGGCCGCACTCCCGCCTCCTGGGTGGCTCCAGCACGGCCCTGGCTGGAAGCCAGGTGGGCACAGACAGCAGCAGAGGCGAGGAATCCCCACGCAGGGGTGAGGGAACATGGGAAATGTTCACCTCCCACATAAGAGAGGCCTTGGGTGCTGCCTGGGGCCAAGCGCTTCACCCCATGCCCTGGCCCTGAGGGGGCCGCAGCAGGCCTGGCAGGCCGGAGCTGTGTTTCCCAGAGGGTCGCCTCAGTCCCCTGCCCTGGACCGGCCAAGATGGCCTGGCTGCCGAGTGGGAAAGCTCAGATCCCCAGGATGGCTCCCTGCTGCCCAAAGCACCCAGAACTGGTGAACCCAGCCTTGTGTCAGCTGCACCCAGGGAAAGGTGGGCTCCAGGACGTCTTGTGGGGAGGCTGGAGCTCCCGAAGTGGACAGAGGTTGACATGGGAGGGCGGGGCTGCCCAGGTGGGACACACGCAGCCCCTCTACCCAAAATGCCAGCCCAGCAGTGCCGGCCTCCCCACCCATGGATTCCCCCCGGCATATACCCTGGAGGGTACAGAGCAGCCGCTGATGGGGAGTGGGCGCCGGGTGCCCTGGCATGCCACCCAGGGTCCCTGGACATTCCCAGGGGCCTCCTGTTTATGGACTTTTCTGTGGTGGTGGCTCATGCACCTGGCTCCCCCAACTGACCCAGGGCTTCAGGAAGTCAGCGGAAAATGCAGTATCTCAGCCAGGAACCCTTGGATGAGCCCAGGAGAAGACTGTGGGTATCAGGAGTAGGGGACGTTGACAGGAGGAGAAGGGAGGAGGAGTCAGAGAACAGAGAGAGACAGAGACACAGAGATAAAGAGACAGACAGAGAGAGACAGAGACAGGGAGAGACAGAGACAGAGAGGAGAGAGACGGGAAGGGAGTGACAGAGAGAAAAAGGCAGAGGAGAGAGAGAGGGAAAGGCAAAGAGAGAAACGGAGAGACAGAGAGAGACAGAGGGGAGAGATAGAGACAGAGAGGGAGAGAGACAGAGAGACACAGAGAGGGGTGAGATAGACAGAGTGAGACAGAGAGGGAGAGAGACAGCTACCAAGGCGGGAGACAGACAGGGAACAGGGAACAGAGCTGAGAGCCCTGATGGGTCGGAAGCGGAGGTGGCGGTGGGGTGGGGCTGAGGAAGGGGCAGAAGGCAGGGCTGGGGGGAGGGCTGGGAAGGCTGTGTCTAGGTCCGTGTGTCCAGGCAGGGCCTCTGGGGCTCCGGCTTCTGCTGGCGTGATCTCAGAGGGACGCCGGCTATTCCAGGCCATGTCATTCCTCAGGGTCCCCAGAGGCAGGTCAGGGCAGGCTCAGGGGGTCATGTTCAGCCCCCAAGGGCTGCAGGGATGGGGCCTGCATGACCTGGACAGGATACAGCAGCTGCACCCTCCAGTGAACGGGAGATGCCAGGGAGAGGGAGGCCCAGGACAGGAGAAGCGTAAGCACCTCCCCGGCTTCCATGTGGGGCCCAGAGCTGGCCCGACCTTGCTGCCCAGGCCCTGCACTCCTGCCTTGGTCTGAGCCCCTCAGAGAGCAGCAGGTGGCAGGGACTGAAGCCACATACCCGCCCACAAGAACAGCCTCCTCCGCAGCCCACCGGCCCCTCAGGCCCTGGAAGCACCAGCTCTGCTCTGGAGGCTGTGATACTGGACTCCCCTGAAGCCCCCAGTCCACACCTTCTCCACAGAGCCCTCCTTCTCCGAGCCTCTGGGTGTGGGGGGCCGTCAGGTGTGGCCACCTGATCAGAACATCTGCCTCCAGCATCTGCCAGCTCTGGCACCCCCAGGCATCTCAGGGGTTGGTTAGAGAAGCCGCGCTGAGCCACCCTGTCCAAGGCTTCTCTGCAGATGGGGACTGGGTCCTTTTGTAGTGCCAGCCCCCCCCAGGCAGTTCCCAGGGGAGCACGTCGCCCAAACCTCCTGTCAGGCAGCCATCTGGACAGGTCCAGGCCCGAGGAGGGGTGGCGTGAGACTGGCCCCCGAGCTCTGAGCACTCACCCACCTCTGGCCTGTGTAAGCTTCCAGCCACCCATGTTGGGCAGCTCACACATGGGCCTTCCAGCAGGGGCCTTCGGAGGGCCCACCAGCCTCCCCCAATACGTGTGCACCCCCACAGCTTGCACAGAAGCAGCAGGCATCCACGTGGCTGCTGAGTCTGGGTGTTTGGTCCTATGGCTGGTTCTCAGCATTGATCAGCACCCATTGCCCTTTTTCTCTGCAAGTGTTTTCAGGGTTCAGGGTCTCACTTCGAATGTGTCAGGGCCCCCCAGGCTCCCCCAGCGGCCACTCCCATCCTCAGGTGTAACTTCCCGGAGAGCTGCCGCCCAGTGTAGCGGTAGGCCTGGGGCTGGGTGTGCCTGTGCATTTGTCTCTGGAGCAGACGCCTCAGAACCGGGTCTCAGCCGGACTGCATGGAAGCAGGCTATGGTGTGCAGCCCAGCCCCGGAGCCCGTGTGTCCCAGCAGAGTGGCCCTGGCCCTCATGCCCAGAGCAGCACCTGGGTTAGGCACATGTTACCATGGCGTGCACAGGCCCCACAGCCCTGGCTGGAGGGAAGCTCCCTCTGGCCGGACTGAGCTCCTAGGGGCATTGCTCTCCCCAGCCCACACCTGGCCCCACAGGATGAGGAGGACCTGCCCCTTCACCTCCAAGCCTGGAGCCGCTGCCCTTCCAGGATGGCTGGGATGAGAACTGGGCTGCTCTTGCTGCCCATGGGGGTCAGGGCTCTGTTCTCTGGGTGACACCCCGTCCCTGTGGGGATGTCCCTGCCCTGTGCCCTTCACCTCTCCAAGGAGACCCCCACATTCCTGGCTCTGTCAAGAGTGTACAGGGGCTGCTGAGGACTGGGGCGAGCCCATCGTCCCTCTCCTCAGTGGCCAGGTGGTGCTCTGGCGCAGGTGGCTGGGAGCATGGCACCCTCCCCTCCATCTCACTGAAGGGGGCCCTGGCCCCCACACCCAGAGCCACCTGCAGCCCCAGGGGAGGGAAGGGGTGCGGAGGCTGCCCTCAGTGGGGTTGGGAGACACACAGAGCCCCACATCTGGGAGGAGGCCTCCTTAGAGAGCCAGGGGTTGGCCAGCACCAGGAGCAGGAGATGGCAGGGGGAGGGGCTCCTCCCAGACAGAAAGGCCCCCTCTGTGGCCATCAATTTCCAGGTGTGCTCCTCGGCCCTGTAAAGTGCGAGTGCCCCCTCCCCTCCTAAAAGCTTTCTCCTGATGCAGCTGCCGACACCTTCACTGCTCCAGAGCACCCTTAATCACCCAGGGCCTGGGGATGGACGAGCAGCTCCTCGAGGACACCAGGCCCCCAATCCTTCCGGGCCAGCCCAGCCCCACCAGTTCCCACCTTCCTGGGCAGGAGGCTGTTCGTGGTTCCATGGCCTCACCATGACCACAGGCTCCGTGGTCTGGTGGCTCACAGGAAGGCTGGGAGGGGTGGAGGAGTGTGGGGTGGGAAGTGTATTGATTGAGAACCAAAACCCAGGTGCCTGACATCACAAATTTATTTTCTCACAATTCTGGATGCCCGGAGGGCCCTTCCCTGCCCCTTCCTTTGTCTGGGGATCCCACAATCCCTGGTGTTTCTTGGCTTGTGGCTGAACCACTCCAGACTTCCTGTTTTCATATGCCTGCCCCGTCCACCTGTCGGTCCTTTGTCTCACTGGACTTCAGGCCCCTCAAGTCCATGACGGCCTCATCCCCGCCCTTACCGTAATCACAACAAAGCCCTGTTTCCAAACGAGAGCAGGAGGCCAGTGTTCAGCCGCTACAGAGGGGAGCGGGACAGACATGCGCAGGGGATGAGAAGGAGGTGGGCAGGGGCTCAGCGAGGCCAGCACTGGGCGGATTCCAGGACCCCAGGGCCTGGAAGTGGCCGCCCACGGAGCTGCAGTGGCCTGCCAGGGAGTGGCCCTGCCCGGGCCCTGGCCGCATTCAGGCTGGGGAGTGTGACTGCAGGCGCTGGGCAGGAGAGTCAACTGCGGGTGACTTTCTCCCCACCTCTGCGAGGAGCCTCCTGCCCACCCCTCCCTGCCCCAGGCTGGAGGCTTCCTGGAAGGCAGGATGATGGGGGCTGGGCTGGGTTTGGAGCCAGAGGTGGGGCTGTGGCCCCCTCTCAAGGAAGATGGAAGCCCCTGCTCCCCCATCTCAGCTCAGAAGAGGGTGGGGTCTCTTCTCCTTCTGGGGTCCTCCTGTTCCTGGTGGGCCAGGGAACCCTGCACACGCCTTTCCTCCCCGCCCCCCACCCGCCCTGGCCGGGAGGTCGTGGCCTGACCCCCGCCTCCCCCGCAGTACGGCATCAAGAAGAAGGAGGAGCGCGAGGCCGAGGCCCAGGCCGCCATGGAGGCCAACTCGGAGGGGAGCCTGACGCGGCCCAAGAAGGCCATCCCGCCGGGCTGCGGGGACGAGGTCGAGGAGGAGGACGAGAGCATTCTGGACACCGTCATCAAGTACCTGCCCGGGCCGCTGCAGGACATGCTCAAGAAGTAGCCCCGCGCGGGACTCGGCCCCGCGGAGCCCCCGCCCGCCCCCAACAGACCTGCCGCGGAGGCCCCCAGGGACGAGCAGCGTGCAGCCCCCATGCGATATAAGCCATATAGCCCCAGGCCCGCCCGCCCGCGCCCCTCCCGCCGCCTCCCCACCCGGCCAGCGGCGCGCGCCCCCAGGGCCCCTAAGTCCGCCGCGGGCCGGGGATCAGCCCCGCGCTCCTCTGCCCGCGGGTGGCTGGACCCCCAGCGCCTGGGACGCCCCTTCCTCTCGCAGTTTACCACCCACCCAGCCGCGCCCAAGGCCAGGGCCGCCGCAAGGGCAGCCCCCGCGACCACCCCTGTGCGCGCCGTCCGCGGCGGTGGGGCCTATCGGGGCCACACTCAGGAGCACAGCCATAGGAAATGGGGGGTGCGGCCGGGGCCTGGGCCCCCTCCCGAGCGCGGACTCCGGGGTCCGGACGACGCCGCCCCGAGTGGAGTGTTCGCGTTCGCGCGTGGCCGGTGTGCACCCCCAGGGCTGCCCCCCTCGCACCCCTGTCCGTTTGTCTGTCCCAGTCCTCCCCTCTCCTCTCTCTGGAAGGTTTTGCCTCTTGCGAACGCCACGGCCATGTTCACTTCTAAACTAAAGGAAACAAAGCAATAGCTCTGGGGGGCTCTTGGCCCCCACCCCCGTCACCCCGCTCTTCCCGAGTCCTCGACCCATCCCCCCGCCCCCGCCCGGCCTCCTGCCTCTCCGCCGACGCGGCTGCTGCTTCTCCCTGGGGAGGACCTTGCCTTCGCTGTCGAACACCGCACCCCCCACACGAGCCGCAGAGGCCCGAGGCACCCGGGGGAGAGGCGCTCCGGACGCTGGAGACCCCGCGCTCCGGCCCAACACCTCCTCCGAGCGTGGCCAGCCCCTCGGGAGGGGCCTGCGGGGTTCCCTGCGTGGAGCCGGCGCGAGTGCGGCCGAATCCACCTGGCGGACCTGCGCGGCGGCCCCCGAGCCCTTGGTTCTCCTCCATCCATGTTTAATTTGCATCACAATTTGTTGAATCTCAGGTAAATGAGGTCTTTGCATTTAATGAGTTTTATCTTGACAGGCGTTGCCTCGGCGCCCCGGGCCCTTTCCGTCCACATCAAAAATGCATTAAGTCTCCATGTGTTTCGCGCCAGGGCGTGGCTTGGCATTGACCTTCATGACCTTACATAGCTTTAGAGAAGCCATAACGTTAGACTGCAATACTAACCACCGACGCCCCTCCGGGCAGATGCCACCGCGCCCCTGTGCCCTGGCGACGCGGCCGGCGGGGACGTGGCTGTCCGTCCTGCTCGCCCTGTGCCCTCTCACTGACTTCTCCCGGGTCGTGTCTTTTAAAAACTCCTGTCTTCACACCTTACAAAGCCAGCTCTGAGCAGACAGGGTGTCCTCTCCTAGAATCTGCGCACCCCGTTCCCAGCGCATGGCGCCCCGGGCCGCCGAGCTTAGCCTAGACCGTGGTGTCCTCTGTCCGTTTGTCCTGCGCCTGCGCCTCCTCCTGCATGTCGGGGCCCCTGCCTGTGTTCTCTCCGGATGGAATCACAGCCAATAAACTCCAGTGATTTCACCCTGCGTGGCTGTTCTTTCCAGAAGTCCATGCGGCAGGCCAGCTGGTGGGAGGACCAGGACCTCCACTACCCACGTTCTCTCCTCGGGGGGGCTCCCTCCGTTCTCACCCACCTCCACCCCAGGGCGGTCCAGCCAGAGCAACCTCCATCTAAACCGCAGACCTGCACCTTCAGGTCCCTCCCACCTAGGACCCTGACCACAGGCCTGTCTCAGCTCTGCCGGGTCCAGGGCCCCAGGTCACCCTGTGCTGCCCTTGCCTCAACCCACTCAGGAATTCCTGCTCCACCAGCAGCCCCGTGGGACTGTCCTCCTGAGTCCCAAACTTCACTCCCTGCAGGATATTGTCTGCCAACAGAGGAGGTTCCTGACCCCAGAGAGAACCCGTCTGCCTGGCTGCTGGGGGTCCCCTCCGTACACCCAATCTGCTGGATGCTCAGTGCCACCGCTAGCTGCTGCCCACACTTGCTTCCTTAGAACGTCCTTGTTTGACCTCCATGTGTGGAAGCTGTTAAGAAGAGATGATTCCGTGACACTTGTTAAAGCTTGGTGAGGAAGACTTTATTCAGGAGTAGCACCACAGGTACAGGGACCATGCAACGGGGCTTGCCATGCGTCCTGGCCAAGGAGCAGGGTAGGGTCATCGGATGGAAAATGAGGGACATCAGGGATTGGGGGATACTGGTGAAACCCATCTAACTGGATTCTAGCTGGAGATAGGGCAGTCAGACACAGCTGGAGGCAAAGGTGGAGGATGAGGACCCCAGTCAGCTCTCCAGGCAGAGAGTTTTCCGCTAAACTGACTCAGCCAGATTCTTCGATAAAACTGGATTTTGCAAGGAAGTGGGCCAATGGGCGTACTAGAAGATTCAGGAACTGACCACACAAAAAGTCTTTGTCAGGATCCTCTCTAGGGAGCAGCCTGTCGGGGTCTCCTGTAACCTTCCTGATGCTGCTGGCTAGGTCTGCCCTAGGGAGCTGCCCTGTCCCAGGGCAGAATGGCCACTGCCCAGCCCCCGGGCTGGGCCCTCCTGGATGCCAGGTGGGGTCCGGAGGGAATGTGCTCTCCTCCAAGTCCATGGAGGGTTGTCTCCAGCGCCTCCAACTGCTGTCTCTGGGGAAATGCGGACCTCTCCCCTGCCAAGGAGGCAGCAGCTGGCTCCCCTTCCTCCCTGGAACAGAAACTCAGTGTCTTTGCACCCACCCCTGTGCCGGTGGCTGCTGCTGGTGCCCCCAGCAGGGCCGCTCTTAAAAGGGCACCCCAACATCCACCCACTTCTCAACTTCCATACTCCCTCAGCCTCCCATCTCCCACCCGCAGCCTGGTCTGGACCCCTGTTGCAAGCCTGAACAGCGACTAGGACATGCCAGGTCAGGACCCAGGCAGCTTTCCCTCGGAGTCTCTACCAGCCCTTCCTCCAGCAACGGCTGCTGGGTCAGACCTGAGCCCCACCTGGATCCACCTGTTACCCCAGGGGACAGGGTCTGAGGCCTCCTGGGGAAGGCACTGCTCCCCAGATGTTTACTGAGCCTCTGCGCAATGCCACGCTCTGTTCTAGGGGCTGGGAATACGAGCCCCTCCCTCCTGGAGCTGGTTTTTCTAGTGATGGAAGACAGATGATAAACATGTGAGTGGTGATGAGGAAAACTGAGCGGGACAGGGAGCAGAGAGCAATGGTGAGGGTTACTATTTCATGAGTGGTCAGGGGGCCTCTGTCGGGGTGATGGGCACAGACCCGGAGGGAGGCAGGTGTCCCGTGGAAGAGGAACAACTATTCAAGAGCCAGGAGGCAGCGCTGCCTGGGTGCCACCAGCGTGGCCTGGGCCCAGGCACTGGCTGGGCACCACTCTGCGCCCGCCCGGAGTCTCCTCCTTCTGAACGTTTAACTGTCTCTTGAACACAGTGGGGCGGCTTTCAACCTCCAGACACGGCCTCCTCCCCAGACCAGGAAGCCCAGTCTCCTCTGATCGCCTTCTCCCCAGGGCCTCTCCTCTCCAGGCCCTGCACTTGGGGCAGTAGTGGTTTCTGAATCACAAGCCAGCTGACCATGGGCTTTCAACACAAATTCTAAGAGGCCTGGCAATTAAAAGACATCTTCCTGGCATTGGGAGTCTGCAGCCAGCCCAACCCCGCCGCCCACCCCCCGCCAGCCGGGCCACTGCGCTCAGCTGACCTGGAAGCAGCTCCGCTGCTGTTGCAGACAGCTGCCCCTCAGGTGATGCAGGGGACGGTGTGTGGGGAGGGGCACGAGACAGGAAGGAGGTCTGGGCCAGCTTGAGGGACCTGGCTGTGTGGATGGAAAGGGCCTCAGGGCAGGCGACCAGGGGAGACTTCTGGGACACCGCCCCCAGCAGATTCTCCCCCCCAGCAGATCCACCCCCCCCAGCAGATCCACCCCCACAGCAGATCCTCTCCCACGGCAGATCCTCCCCCCCCCCCCACAGCAGATCCCCCCCCACAGCAGATCCGCCCCCCTATATTCGCTCACACAGCCGATTGATCCCCCCCAGAAGCTCCACCTCCTCACCAGATCCTCCCCCAAAGACCCACCCACCCACCTCAGATCCGCCCCCTGCACACCCGCACCCCCAGAAGATCCACCCGCGCGGCAGATCTGTTCCCCCAGAAGATCCGCCCCTCACAGCAGAGGCCGGCCTTCCCAGTAGATCCGCCCCCAGCGGAGCCGACCCCAGAGCAGCCGCGCGGGCCGAGACTCGGGGCCGGGGAACGGACCCGGACAGGTCAGGGGAGGGGAGCGGGCCCGCCCTTGGCCGGCCTGAGCCAATCAGCGCATGCTAGGAGGGCCGTCATGATTGGCTCCCAGAGGGTCACGTGTGGAGGCGTAACCAATCAGAGCCTGAAAGACGCCATTGCACGACTCTGACGAGGTGCTGGAGCTGGGTCAGTCGGCCCTCACCCCGCGGCCGCCCTCGCTCGACCGGGCCTCTGCACGCGGTTGTCGCGGCTGGCAGAAGCTTCTCCGGCCCCGGGCCCTGCCCCGTCGGCTGCGTGCTTGCTCGTCCTGGCCCCAGTGCCCGCCGGTCCCCACCCTCAGGCCGGCGTCCCTGCCCGGCCCCGCAGCAGGCTGGCGCTCAGGACGCCCCGAAGCCGAGACCGCGAGGCAGATTTCTCTGGACCTTCTCCTACCCCGGGTTCCCGCCCAGGTCGGCCGTAGGAACCAGGCCCCACCCGAAGCCCAAGGGCGGCCCAGCGCTCCGGGTGACGCTGGCCGGCCTCGTTTGCCTGTGGGTCCTGGGATGCGCCACGCCGGGCAGGAAGGGGCGCCGCCGCGGCCGAGTCTCAGCCTGGAACCCGCTCCTGCCGTCGGGGACTTTTCCGCGCCCCCCACGCGACCCCGGGAGCGAGACCCTCCACGACAGGGCGGCGGGGCTGACTCGCTACTTCGAAACCTGCGTAAACTGGGCTCGCCCCACCTCCCAGACCTTGGGGGAGTCCCAGGGAAGGCTGTGGCCTGGGGTTCTGCAGGGCGTTGGCAGTGGAGGTGGGGAGAGACCCCAGCCCTTTCCTGCCCGCCCCTCAGCCTTACCTTGCTCGCCTTAAGCCGGGGGGACTGATGGACTTTCGTCTGACTCACAGTATGAAGGCCCTCGGGCATAGCCACGCTCCCCAGGACCCGTGTGCTCTCCCAGGCTGTGCTGGAAGCTTAGAGCCAGAATGGCCTTTCCGCCTTCCTGCTGGCTGGCTCAGTGGGCAGCAGGGACGGGGGCTGTGAAGAGAAAACTCACCCACCAGGGTCAGGGGCCGCTTGCCCGCTGAGGAAAGCAGGGAGGGTCACTGCCGCCTGCCTCGGGAACACTGTTGATGAGGCGCTGCCTTGCAGTTCTTGGAGAGGAATAACGGCCCTCATGGGTGCTTGGTTGGAGCAATTGGAGGAGAATAACAGTTTAACACGATTATTTCACACAGGTGTTCAGAGAGATGGCTTTGAATTCCAGCATATGGCGTCTTCAACAAAAAGTAATTGTTTAGAGAAGTGACAAGATGAAAGGACTCGAAGTCCGAGTCTTCCCTCCTCCAATCCCTACGGAAACTCACCAAGCAGGAGAAATTCACCTAGGACTGGGGCAGAAAGTATCCACCAGAAGCGTAGGAATGATAAAAAAAAAAAAAACAACAGCAACACAGGCCCTCCAGGTGGCTCAGGTCTGTAATCCCAGCATTTTGGGAGGCTGAGGTGGACAGATTGCCTGAGATCACGAGTTTGAGACCAGTCTGGTCAACATGATGAAACCCTGTCTACTAAAGATACAAAAAAATTAGCTTGGCCTGGTGGTGTGGGCTTGTGATACCAGCTACTCAGGAGACTGAGGCAGGGGAATTGCTTGAACCAGGGAGATAGAGGTTGCAGTGAGCTGAGGTTGCGCCACTGGTCTCCAGCCTAGGGACAGAGCGAGACTCCATCTCAGAAAACAAAACAACACAAACCCACAACAGTGGGCCAAAGGAACACAGCGGCAAGGGGTCCCAGTGGCCGATGCTGGAATAACTTTAAGGGCAGAATAAAGTAGCATCAGGTTATAATGCACAGCGCTGAAGAAACATCCCTGAGTCTATACTGATACAATGTTGGAAACATGCTGGGTGCTGCAAAGAAAAATGAGCATTGACACAAAGGATCTTTGAGCAATGCAGTTTTTACTTCCTGGACTGCAGGAAGGGTACCCTCACTAGCCATGGTGCCATGAGAGTACAACGAACAAAGGAAAACAGACTTGTTTATCCCTTAGTCATTTGGGGTCATCTTTACTGTCTGATCTCAGTTGGCTGGAGCCAGACCTCACAATCTTAAAACCTGATTGGCTAACAACTTAAAACTTTTCTAAAGAGGTAAAAGCAATGGAGAGCTGGGTCATACCTGTGAGCACGTCCAGCACAGATACCTTGGTTGAAGTACAAGGACATAGAATACTACATGGCTGTAAGCATGGCATGTCTAACAGCTACACTGGATAGGGCTTAACAAAGAGTATCACACTTAC